ATCTATCTATCTATCTATCTATCTATCTATCTATCTATCTATCTATCTATCTATCTATCTATCTATCTATCTATCTATCTATCTATCTATCTATCTATCTATCTATCTATCTATCTATCTATCTATCTATCTATCACGTACACATTTTGAAATAGAGTTTTAATCACCAGTAGTGATATTAAACAAGTGACCAAGAAAACCAATCAGAAATATGACCTACAACATGAAAAAGAAAGGAAATAAGAGGATCTGTGAACAGGTAATGCATATTAAAGGTCCATATGATGAGAACATGCTAAAAACCTTTACTTTTGCCATACAGAATGACCTTCACTCCCAGCTCAGTCGCTTTCTGTCATGTTTCCCTTCAGGTGATGGCCCAATGTAGGCTATCATTTAGCTAACAATAGTGCTTTTCTGACTGAATAAATGCAACAATGAGTGCTTTTGACCTATGGTGGCATTTCACTCAAACAGCACACCACCTCGGGCACTTCTCATGTGCCATTTTTTTTACATTTGAACCTTTTCATGTGTCATTTAACATACTGAATGACACAGATAATGGTTAGGGTAAATGTTGAAGACAGAGTGTCCTTCTTTAAAAAATGACATGCTGTATAATGGCACCCATTATTCAGACATCGTCACAACAAATGTCACAAACCTTAATTTATCAATTCGCAGCCCGAGACTAAAATTTTCTTGCAGAGGAAGAACAGAGGAATATATCTGGACATTCTAAGAAATATCTACATTCTGAAATATTTGTTGTTACTTGCATGACTGTGGGAGATCCAAGTTAGATAGTTCCTGCACAAGCTTTAAAATATATATATATTTTTTTCTCTTCTTTGTTTCCTGCTGTTTTCTTGGGTAAGTGGTTATAATCAATCCTTAGAATCAATTTGGTTATTGAGAATAAACTTCATTGCTTGGATCTAAATTGACAGCTTTGTATGTGGCCGCAAACCTGGTCATAATCTCTGTTTAAGACATTTTAAGAATTTGTTCATGTGCATGAATGGGGATATTTCATAACTAAATGCGCCATAGATCCTGTGTGTACATTGCCCATTATATTGGTTGTATTTGACTTAAGTTTTGCCAGAAGGCAGGGTCTCAGGCTGTAAATGTTATTGTTCCAGGAAACATGCACAATATAACATTCTAAAAAGCTAACGTAGATATTTTAAAGAGAGTTAAGAACCACTTTGTTTACAGACTTTTTACTCCATAAACGCTGATAATTTTTTATCATTCCATTAGAAAGTCAATAATGTATAAAAGAATCGAGATTTATAGGTTGAAAATGAATTTGATAGAAATAAATATATATTTCCATTTTCTCTCGCTTGTTTTTTTCCATTTACTTTTCGGCTCTCCTCTCCCTCTTTGTCTCTCCTTTTCCTAGTTACATCTATTCTTTGTTGATGTCTATTTTTCCTCTTTTTTGGCCCCCCATCAACGCGTCCCTTTTATTTTCGCTTAAGCATTTATACCTTGTCTTTCCTTGCGTGCCCTGATCACCCTTCTCTTTCTCTCCGTCGTTTACTCCATCCGCTGGTGTTTGCGTGTCTAGCTTTTTTCCTTTTTTTCAGAGCTGGCATGTTTTCTGCTGAGCACTGCAGTCTCTGGAAGGTGTGGTGTGATGCATTCATGGGTGTCCTCCCTCCCTCTCTGCTGCTGCTTTAAAGCTTACGTAACACACAGCAGAGCGCTCTAACTGCACTGGGCAAGAGGCACAGATGGATATGGAGATCGAAAGAGGAAGAGAGGAATAGAAGAAGAATGGAAGTCATCATGGGATAATCACATATAGGTGTGGACAGATGAGGAAGATAGAGCATGTGTCTATGGGTGTGCAGAGGCTGTAGGAGACTAATGGTGTACATGGATGACTGACACTGATATCAAGAGTCATTCTGAAGAAACAAAATGTAGTTGCTGCGTACATTAACAAACCGGGTTTCCATTAGTGCACCGTATGCGGTGATGAGATAATTTTCCTTCCAGCAAAGTAAGCAAAACCATGGCTGATTAATCACACTCGCCTCAAGTTCATTTTTTTCTATATGTGGAAAAGGTCTTGGAAGTTTAGAGAAAATGATCAGTCATCTGAGGCTTCATGTCCTGTATGGCAAGAAGGTTTCTGGATTCTTGTGTGCTGCTGCTCCACCCGAGAGTCAAACAGTTTAGAGATCTCTGCAGTACTGCAGGGTGGGGTCTGAAGCACCACGAGAGAAAAAGAGGACAATTACCCATAAAGTTCAAGTATACCACCAAGGAAAAACACCCCCACAAAAAATCCTGTTCACTCCTGAATGTGCATGTGCATTCGACAGCTCATCACCTTTTATGGTTTTGACTTATTCTTTGTGATTTCCCATCGAGTTTAAAAATTGCCATGCTGCGATCAAACAGAGCGCAAAGGGATCGAGCTTCATAGTTGCTGCCAAAACTGGGTGACATTGTTCCTTAGTTGCTGAAAAGAACCACCCACTCAATGAAAGGTGGTTGAAAAGTGAAGGACTCAGAGGACAAAAGAAATAATACGTCTTTGTGTCGGATTAAAAGTCACAGGAGGACTCTTGTGAGCAGTGGAAGATGAAAAAGATGATGCATAGATTTACATTCTCAGAGAGGTCTTGCAGTATAAGTGTAATCTGAGTCAGATTCTAGCAACTGCCAGGGGAAATAAGAGTAGTAAGAAAAGCAACACAAATAATGGAGAAAATGAATCTTCCATTCATTTATTTATGTATGTATAAATCTTGCTTTATCTGTGTTGCAAGTCAAGTGCTGCAATAACCAAAAAGAAGGTGGAAATATAAAAAAAAAACAGCTGCAGCCTTTAACATAGAGATCAGGCTCATACAGAACACTGATATAATGAGACATGATGTGGGAGGATTAATTGCGGATTTAAAAGATTTCATTGAAAAGAAAAAGACGTAAAATAAATTGTCAGCGTTGATTCGGGACTCTGAGTCTTTGATATTTTTAAAACGAATCACAGCGGTTTCCCATCCATGGTGAGCTGGTCTACTTCCTGCATACTTAAAGAGTCGTGAAAAAATGACGAGGAGATATGCGGTGTTTTTGTGGCGTGTAGAGCAGCACAGAATGACCACATTGGCTGAGAGCCACTTGGACCTCTGTGGGTGAAGTTAATAAACACCAATACTTAATCACTGCTGACTAGAAGTGAAAGACAAAGGAAGAGAAAACTACCCCTGGATGTGTTACTGACATTAAATAAGCCAAATTTTTTTTATATTTTTTCAATATGAATGATTTATTTATTTAACTAATTTAAATCATTCATTTGCATTTTTCATGCATACACTTTATTTAGTCCCTCACTGAAATGAATTTAAATAAATTACACTTCGTCAATTCCAGAGGGGAAATTATAGTGTAACAGGATTAAATTATTAGGTAAGATTATAATTAATTAATAAATATATTCTACAACTGTACAAAGATAATGAGATAAAATGTAAAGCAGCTGTCAAAGATGTGGAGTTGTAGAGGAAAGTCTTAACAGGTCTCTGTCAATGGGCTGCAGTGTTTTTTTTAACTTGGTAGGAATTTAGCTAATGAAAACATAAAACAAGTGTTCTTCATTTGGGCGTTCAGAGACACTTTCTAGATGATACAGTGTTATCCAGGATTACATCATCTGTTCCTTCCCCTCTCTGTCTTTGGTCTCTGTCCAGCATCAAACAAAACTGAGGAACGAACTTTCAAACACTTTTTCAGGGTGATGTTCTGTCAGATTTAACAGCAAATCTTTTTTTTCAAGATAAAACAGGATCATAGTGTTTGTCTAACGATCTAATGACACACACATCGGTCGGAGGGGTTCAGTGACAAAAGCGACTGTAATCACCGTCTCGTTTTTTCCTCAATGTGGAGAAGATGTTGTCTTTATTAGAGCTCTCAGAACAGGATTTATGGTTGTTCTATAGTAATGAGTGTGGCACATACAGCACAAAAACCTTGCTTTACATCTCGCAGGCTTTGTCATATCCATTATCCTTCCTGTTATTCCAATAAATGAATTGAAAAGTTTCATTTAGAAATCCTAAGACTGCTAAAGCAACGCTTTAACAAACGCCTGAATCCAGATGCGTCAGCGCCATTGTACTGGCAGGATAGATAAGGAGCGTTGCTTTTGTAAATGCACACCAAAGCAGCGAGGGAAAGGTGTGGACCCAGCCCTGTTTCTGATTCAGCAGTGGCAGCTTTCTGCAAACCATCAGCCAGCCAAATTTAGCTCCCAGATCGATAAAGTATTCATACAGGACAGCGAGGCGAGGACAGCATAAAAGGCCTTTTCTGACATACTGCTGCAGTTGTCAGGCTGCGTGTTCCGATTATTAATAGGGAGAAAGAGTGGAAACACCCACAAAAAAGAGAAACATTAATCAAATAAAATAGCGAGGAAATGAGGACAGAACTTCTTATTCTTTGGAAAATCATGCATGCAGTGGTGGTATGGAAAGGAGAGACCTGAGGTCAATACTTCCTAACTTCAAATGTTCTCCTTCCCTAAACTCTTTTTGAACGTAGTATATGAGTTAAATCTGAAGGAAGGAGAGACAATTTTTAAAAATAAAAATCACACACAAATGATGAAGGAAGTCAAGAAACGAAGAATATAACTCTGTTGAAGCTGAAGTTGACCTGGCTTTACGGGATGAGGAGGCAGAAGACTATCTAAAAAATTCCCTCAGCCAACTTTTGAATCGTTAAAGGACATTTAATATATATAGAATATATAAGTAAAAAAAAGACACTAAATTGAATGGAAAATACCAATAAGTCGAATTTAATGACTCACCACCCGATACACAATACAGAGCTATGGTGACGCAAAAACCCCCCCAAAAAAGGATTCTTCTGGTGCCTGCTTTTGGACTTAGACACATAGAATAGTGCATTGACCCACTTAGGTGAATGCTCCTGGGGTTGAGCTGTTTTTCACAGTGTTGACTGACACCCAGAGATGCATCTTTCCTGCATTAGCACTGCAAGAGTTTCCGAGATGTCTCTCTTGGGAGACAGAGGGGAACGGGAGTAAACAGCTTCAGTGGAAAATTCAGATCGCTGTGTGAGTCAAACTGCATTGAGCCTGCTCAGAGGCAAAGTTTGACTTTAATCTTATTTTCCCCACCTTACTTTCCTTTATTTGATCATTCTTTACCAGATACAACCAGTAAAACGGCAGTCTCTTTGTAAAAAGCGAGGCCTTCCTTATGCATGAATACTTGAACTATATTAGTTGGTGAATTGATTAAAAAAAAAAGTTATAATATAATTACAACTCCTTCGGATAAGAGTGCAAGTGTGCATCTGGTGCAAAGGAGAGCTTCTACCCTGAAGCTGTGAGAGTCTTAAACTCTCAGCAAATTGAACCACTGCAACGCCACTTTAATTGGACACTTGACACTTCATCCATGCTGCTGATTTTCTTCTCGCTTACTCATTAGCTGCCATTTTTACACCCATCGTCTCACAACCGGCTCAGGTTGTTCATGTTGCTGTCACAGCACCTTTTTATATTATCATTGTTATTGTTAGTTTATTTATTTCTATCCACATATATTGTTTATTTCTATTTTTACTTATATGTAGTTTTTCTTATCTTACCTTCAGTGAATAGTTATTTATTAATTTAACTATAATCTGGTTAGATTAGTCATATGTTTGACTCTGAGGACATTTGGATTTGAGATGCTTAGTTGTTTTACTGAAATTACGAAAAAACTGTGAAATGTTATTGAATCAGCTCAGAAGATGCAATATTTGTTAGCCGGTTAGGTTTCAACAACACTTTTGTTTTTGGACAGTAACCCAAGCATTTCAGGGCAGCTTCCGGACTCTAGTTGAAGGCAGTTATGAAATGGTGCATTATTTATTATTCCTTCATGACGATTTTTGTCCTGCTTCAGAATCAGCAACTTAACTGCAATCTCGTGTGTGTGTGTGTCTGTGTGTGTGTGTGAGACAATGCTGTGTTCTTTCATGTTGAATCTGCCATTAGGGTGTGTGACACCTCCTCTCACAGGATGTTGTGTCTGAATGTGTGTTCAGTGTTGAAGTGGACATTTTATCCTCCCACTCACAGGTCTTTACAGCATTTCTCTCATATGATTTGTGTTTATCAGATGCAGTTTGAGTGATTAATGACAGGGTCAGTCACAGCCTCTTTTCCTTTTTGTGTGTCTCAGGATGTCGATTGTCAGCATCGTTGCCAGGGAGATTTTGGACTCCCGGGGAAACCCCACAGTGGAAGTGGACGTTCACACGGAGAAAGGTGACACTCAGTGACCCCGACAGCTGATATGAGAGGAAGGAAGCACGTCCCTTCACTTGAGTTATCAAAATGTCTTCAAAGCATGGGAAATGCGATTAATTTCGGCAGAGACAATGCTTCATGTCCTAAATGTTGCTGGGAACAAGCATTTTTCCTCTGTGCTGATCAGCTACTTTAACCTAAAATGCTGAAAACAGGTGGTTTAAAGAGCTATTAAGATGACAAAGCAGACATAGGGAAACAGTTCTGAAGTAAATTGCGTTTACCCTTAGCAAGTATGCTATTCTCTTTTAGGTCTGTTTAGGGCTGCGGTGCCTAGTGGAGCCTCTACAGGTATATACGAGGCTTTGGAGCTCCGAGATGGCGACAAGAGCCGCTATAAGGGCAAAGGTATGAAAACATGAAATGCAAGTACTGTTCATACATCATGATGTGCAAAAAAACCCAAAAGAGACAAAGAAAGAAAAAAAGCCTGCATTTAACAGGAATGTGATTTAAAAGGCCAAACAAGAAGTTAAAAGAGCCTAAAACAGATTGAGCACAAGCTACGCAGACGTTTCATACATAATCTGGGAATACGTTCCACAGAAGAAGAGCCTAACAACTGCAATAGTAGCTATTCTCTGTTTTACAAATGTGCGTAAAACTCTGTAAAAATTCCAAATCAATTTTCATTTGAGTGTAGAAAAACAAATTCCAAGCTGATCTCTTCCTGCTTCAACTCAGTTTTCTCTGTTTCTGGCGCCATGTCTCTCTTTTCTTACCTCAGGTGTTTTGAAGGCAGTCGGACACATCAATGACACTCTGGGACCAGCCCTCATAGCTTCTGTAAGTCAACCATACAAGATTCAAATTTGCCTTGATGATTCTTCGGTTTCACCTCAGAGCAGGTGTGGATGATTATCCACCTTTTTTGCATTCAGGATTGACTAGAGACAATACTGACACCTGCTTGCGACAGGAAGCACAGATTAAAAACAAAAAAAAATCCACACAGCCCACCAATGCTGAAAAAGTCAAGTTTAGACTTGAAATGTGATTAAAATATCCTGCTGAAGTGTCACTGCGTGTATATTCAATCTGTTAATCTGGAACACATCTGGATGAGCTGCCTGAAAGCCGTGAGAATGAGATAGTCTGAGTTATCAGCAAAAATGTTCTGCCGGTGCAAAGAGGATGATAACGAGTGAGGGAGAGGGAGAGTGAAAGAGGTGTGTGTAAGCGTATTTCAGATATCTACAGCAGTGGGAACATGGGTGATTTCCTTCAGGGATGTTTTTTATCAAAAATAATTGCTGTGATGAGTCAAGAGGGGAAAAATACGCATTCGAGATCTGACATCCTGAACGTTACAGCATGTTTTTAAATGTTTTTTTTTATAAAGGCTGTAACACTCTCAAACTTGTTTGACTGATCAGATCACTCTTTTAGACTCATACTTCACAGTCTTCCCATCTCCAAGTTTTAAAAGACTTAAGTTAATTTGTGTTTATTCACTTGAATGATCGCTAAAAAACATTCCAGATAATTAGACTTTTTTCCCCTTTAAGTCACAGAATTCACAACATTTGTACAGAGATAAATTCTTTAAAAAAATGTACCATATAAAATGTATTAGTAAATTATCTGGTGTAGTTGTGATCACTTTAAGCAAGTAATGTTTTATCCTCTTGTATCACTTATTTCTGTTAGAGGATAAGTATTGACATAAGAAATAAACAGCAGGGAAATGCACACCTCAAATTGTCCTGGAAAAGGAGAGCAGAACTTTTCTTTTGTAGTGATCTCATTGAATGTCTCTCTGACCTATTCACCATTTCTCGGAAGTTGATGTCACCATGGAAACAGAGTAGTCTGACAGAAAGGCATGAAGTCAGCAAGGCGTCACTGCAGACGGTGGAGGAGAGGCTTGTTCAATTCTGTTGCGTTGGTGTGTAATTTTAACTCACTGCGTGCCACCACCACTTCAAAGGGATGCCAACTCAAGTCTGGTAGACACAAATCTTACAATGTCTGAGAAACAAAATTTGACAGACAAATCTAAACAAGCTTCAGTTAAAGTTTCAAATCTCTCCGAGCACTTTTACATCCTCGGCTGAACAAAACAATAGCTGGAATGCAGTCATGTGAGCTTTTCAGAGGAAATCTAACTTCAGTATATCATAAATGACTGTTATTATTTGTCCTTGCGTGTCCACAGGGCATCAGTGTGGTGGAACAGGAGCAGCTGGACAACATGATGATCGAGATGGATGGCACAGAAAACAAATGTGAGTCAAAACATGATGGAAGCAGTCGTGATGCCTCTCACTGCATCATCAGAGTTTATTAGCCAGCTGGAAGGCTTCTAGTCCCAGCAGCTCTAACATATTTGAAAAAGTGATTTTCCCAAAGGCTCATTTTTCACAGAGAGCTTTGCAGGGTGAAAAGGCATAAATATGGAGGGTAACAAAACAGAGGAAATAGATGGCTGTTCATAACAGATTTTGGCACGGCCAATACAAACTCCTTTCTTCAATAAATAGAGGCTCTGTTGATTTATTCTAATCCATAATCCTGTAAAGCAATCAGTACAGGCAATATCATTACCAACCTGTTGAACCAAACAATTATAGCCGCAGAGAAAACTCCCAAGGCATTGATTTATCTTTTTATATTTCTTTAAACATTGATCTTACCGTTTGACAGACTTGTAACTTATCATCTAATATATGTGAGGAGCAGTAGGCAGCTGTGCAGCTTTCCCTTTAAGGAAAACCACCCTCATATTTATGTATCGACGTATAATCCAGATATCTAAATTTAACCCTCATTTATGTAAATCTTTAATGTGGACCATCAGCATGTTTAAGAAATTCATATTTCTAATATTTGTAACAACATGTTTGTTGTTTTTCAGATTTCTCACATAGAAATATATGTATTTTTTATGTGTTTGCTAACTCCAGTGGCTCCGGAAGCTATAATATTATGGCTGGATGTGCAGCAGTGTGTCTGTCTTATAAAGATCCAACCAGATTTTTAAAAGCTCTTATTTGTCTCATGTGAATGACAGTTCAGCAGATAAACTGCTTCCTGTTCACAAAACATTTTCTTATGAACAGATTTGGAGAGAGAGTGATACAACTTCACTGAGAGACTTTAAAGCCTTCCTTTATGCACAATGAAGAACTGATGGTGGTTACAACCAGCATCCAAAATGGGATGCTGGTAGCAGCTACTAATAATGGGCACAAAGAAGAGTTGGGAAGTTTTCTACTTAGCCTTATACTGAAGCACAAGAGTGGACTTTTTAAATTAAATCCAATGAAGCTTTATTTATATTTGTTCCAGTTTGGCATTTTCTGTTGATTGTCACTTTTGATATTAACTCCAATCATTTTCTGATATGTGGCCTGTCAAACAGCTCAGTTTGGAGCCAATGCCATCCTTGGAGTGTCTCTAGCCATCTGTAAAGCAGGTGCAGCAGAGAAAGATGTCCCCCTGTACCGCCACATAGCCGACCTGGCTGGAAACACAGAGTTGGTGCTCCCAGTTCCTGTAAGACTCAAATCAAATTATCTCTATCAAACTATCTGACGGCATGTGTTTTGTAAAATATTTCTAGATTGTTTTCCCATTTCAGTCAAAAACAGTTATTGTAAACATCAGGATGGTTATTTTGACATTTTTCAAAGACAAGATATTAGCAAGAAACTTTGGTCAAAACAGAAACAACTTTAAATGTATTTGAACTAAAAGCTAAGAAAGGTTAATAATATGAAGGGATGTGATGTTTTATTACTATGAATAACATACTTCTTTGGAATTTCTTATTTTCTCGTTTCTCATTTTTACATCTTTTCTTCTGTCTTCTTCAGGCCTTTAATGTGATTAATGGAGGATCTCATGCAGGAAACAAACTGGCAATGCAGGAATTTATGGTTCTTCCTGTTGGGGCCGAGTCTTTTAAGTAAGAAGTCCACTTGACAAGACTTTTCTAAATACCAATGAAGTGCACACTGCCCTCTCTTACCATAATTAAGTACTAATAACATGAAGCCATAAATAACTAGAAGGAATCCATGTTCCTTCTTGTGGCCACTTGTGTTTGGATTCAGGCTTTTTTAATGCTATTTATAAAAAAAATCTCTTTTACTTCCACACTTCACCTTTCAGGGAGGCATTGAGGATAGGATCTGAGCTTTACCACACACTGAAAGGGGTGATTCATGAGAAATATGGCCAGGACGCCATCAACGTCGGAGATGAGGGAGGATTTGCTCCCAACATCCTGGAGAACAGTGAGGGTGAGAAAGAGAATGTGTGTGTCTTTTACTTTAAGTTCAACAGTGAATCTGAGATTTTAATGCTGAGCTGGACATCTCAAACTATCAAATAAAAGGGTGACTTTGCAGGGATTATCTGAGTCTGCCAAATAAAATGCTGGCTTGCAAAGACAGACCAATGAAAAAAATGATCATTTTTGTGTCTATCTTGCCAAAGGTGAGAAAATTCATTTCGAACTATATTTTCATTTTGTGTTACTGTCCTCCGCTGCCTTTTCTCCCCCCTGAATGTTCTCAGCCTTGGAGCTGCTGCAGACGGCCATAGAGAAGGCAGGCTTCACGGAAAAGGTGGTGGTTGGGATGGACGTGGCTGCCTCCGAGTTTTATCGCGAGGGCAAATATGACCTTGACTTCAAATCCCCGCCAGATCCACAGCGACACATCAGCGCAGAGGAGCTGGCTGACATCTACCAGGGCTTCGTCAACAACTACCCAGGTGCGACTTTTGCTCCGTTTCTTGATCTGAAGGGTTAATTTACATTGAGCCAAAATGTTTGAACCCACAATAAATTCATGATTAATGAAGAAGTTCAACAGGAAGTAGGAATGAAATGAACTAATGGGACGAGTTGATAGACCTTATTCAAAGAGTGCTATCTTTCTTTTTCCTCGTCAGTGGTGTCCATTGAGGACCCGTTCGACCAGGACGACTGGGAGGCCTGGTCCCGTCTCACAGCTCAGGTTGGGATCCAGGTTGTCGGGGACGACCTGACAGTAACCAACCCGAAGAGGATAGAGAAAGCTGCCGAGGAGCGAGCCTGCAACTGCCTCCTGCTCAAAGTCAATCAGATCGGCTCCGTCACTGAAGCCATACAGGCGTATGTTTATTCCATCCTAAAAATTAAGCAATGCCCAGCATCTTTTTTGACTTAAAACATTTGATTTAAGTCATTCCTAAAATACAGCTCTGATTGCATGTAGAACATAAGAAAGTGTATGTAATAATTCTGCTGATTGCAGAATTATTGACATGGCAAAAGAAATGGAAAGGTTTGCCTGTGATTTTGCATTTGTCACAACTGGGAAAATTCCCTCAAAGAAGAGGCGCTTAACAGGACAGAGAGGAAAAAAATGTGTCATTTATCACTTCTGTCACTCGTGTTGAGCAGAAAAAGATGTTATCGGAACATGCCAAATGCCAAAGCACTTTGCTTTTAAATTCATCACTGATGGAGCTCAAATATGTGCTAATTTCGAAACAGAAATAACACTGTAACAAAAAAATCACTAGAAATAAGTACAGTACTAATATTTATTACTCAAACATATTTTGAACTCTATTTGAAATGACTTTGGATCCTGGGTTGAATTCCAAACCAGAAAAGGTAGAATTCTCATGTCTGTATCATCTACTACTATTTAATGAAAATCGTAGAAACTGAGATTCCCTGAGCTTGGAACTGAATCTGAGCCAAACAGCCTTGGCGCATTCTGCTTTGAAAAAAATAGGAACAAACTCGTGAAACTTCAGGTCCTTCAGCCTGCCAAACAGGATTTCTCACCCTGTCCTGCCATCAGTCATACTAATCGAAACACACACACACACACAGGCGCACACACACGGGTCGCCGTGTCGCCTGTTACGTGGGTTGATTTCCGTCGGCCATGTTGACCTTGTGCCACAGATGAGGTGAGAAAAACACAGAGGATACGGAGAGGAAGAGACATAAGGTTCATGGTGTGAACATTTAACCTCTTCTGGGAGGGATCTTTAACTACTTCTGACTCATATTTATGGATTTTCATGTGGCATTATATCAAATCCCTCCTTAACCTGATGCGTCATCAATCTCAATCATAGTCTCTGGGTCGTGATGCCATGACTCTTGACTGTGCAGCTGTTTTACAGCAGCTGGAGAGAAGGGGGCGGGGGGGGGCGGAGGAATGAAGTGATGGAAACAGAGCCCATGACAGTACGTGTGATGTATTGCATCCATCCCACAAAGTGTCTCGCATCATTAATCTGATTCATTTAATAGCTCAGATGGCTAAATGAGAATCATAAAAACCCGGAAGCATCAACGCACGTCTACATTTTTCTTGTTTAACTTGTCAAATGACCTGCGGGTGCAAATTAATTCTAATCAGATTAATGCAGTTTTTCAACACGATCCGTGCACGCGGCTATCATGAGCTTTCAGAGAGGACTGGAATTTGTAATCCTCTGTCTTTGATTGCTTTCAGTTTGCATGTAAGCCTAAAAATATTATGAGAGCGACACATTTGGTGTGATTTTAGCCTAACACAACTCAGTCAGGCTTAAGTTACATAATACAAGTTTTGCAGAGTGCCTCAGTGCTCTCTTATTGTCAGCAAAACATGGCGCTGCCAGTGCAGCGTAGCCTACTTAGCTTCTCTACAGTCAAAGCCTCATAGGGTCCTTTTACAAAATGGATATCTCAACATATTACAAAGCAATGTTCATTCAGCTTTAGGGTAAATGTCATGAGACAATATATCCTCCTTTAATTTTTTACTTTGTCCCTCAGCTTGTGTCACCTGTTGCATTATCAACATGCAGCTAAAATAACAAGACGGATGTCACTGTCCAAACATTTGAAGGCATCACTGCATGTTGATTTGCCACAATATTTATTACTTTGAATCCAAAATAAATGGATGGTTGTCCCATCTTTGAAAATGAATTTCCTACACTGCTGAAATTCAAAATTGGGATTATACGTGAGTTCTCTGTTTGATTGTTGGTCTGTTGAACACTGGGCCTGACAAAAAAAATACATTTAAGGATCCAAGTCCACAAATTCTTTGTGAATAAAATCATAATAGACCACATTTTAAGAGTTTAAAATTGTGAATGTTCAGTGGATATGAAATACAATTTACATTGTTTATCAAAAACAAAATGGAGGTTGTATTTTTGAAGGACATGTTGCATGAAAGTGACTCTGTCGTTCAGGTGTAAGCTGGCTCAGGCCAACGGATGGGGGGTGATGGTCAGCCATCGTTCAGGAGAGACAGAGGACACCTTCATCGCTGACCTGGTGGTGGGACTCTGCACTGGACAGGTACACACACACACACCAACCACAGCACATTCATGACTGGTTATATTTGCTCCAATCAACTCTTAATCTGTAGGAAAGAACTCCTTGTGGTGTTCTCTACCCTGTAAATTAGCACAAGACTAATTAAACATAATTCAACTTGTTGTTCTTGTTGAATTAATTAAAGGTGAGCTGATTCTATTAATTAATCAATTAAAAAAATCAGACAAAATGAAGTCATAAGTGTTGATGTTGTAAAAAACGGATTAAATAATTACATGCATGACAATCATGATCAATATTCATAGAAAATGTTGCAGCCAGTGATAATTATATTAATATGTCCTTCATGTCTTGATGATATTTTGAGATTTTGTCTGCAGATGACTGATTGTGTATGGCTCTGTTTCAGATTAAGACCGGTGCCCCCTGCAGATCCGAGCGACTGGCCAAGTACAACCAGCTTATGAGGTCAGCGTTGTTGTAGAAAATGTAGTTTCTTCTGTTTGTCAGAACATTTATCAGGAGCTAACACCCCCTTAAATCTTCAAATTAAGGGATTAATAACTACAATACACAGCATTACAGTTCAGCGGTTTCTTTGCTCGTGCTTCAATGAAAGCTCAAAACTCATGTAAAACTCCCCCGAATTGCTGTTTTTGTAGGGAAAAAAGGAAGTGGAGAATGCGGAGATTTCAGATTATGCAGATTTTCTTTGAAACCCCTGCCTTCAGGCCTTTCAACAGGCATGATTAAGGATTATTGAAAGGGTATGCAGAGCCAGCCAATGCTGCGTACTGTACATACAGGGATCAAATATTTATGTTGTAAATGTTACGCAAACTTATGTAAAGCTTTTTAGGCAGCATTAACAATGATTCCTTCTAATAGTTTATTGAGTTGATGATTATTCTGGTATTTTTCTGCTTAAACACGCATCTGGGATGGTGTGAAAACCCAGACTTAAGGCTGAAAAAGAAGTGAAGAAAATTGAAATGTAGAACCTCGTGGGCGGCTGTCACACCACAGAAACGGGCCTGATCCCAATCTCCATGCTAAGGCCTAATCACTAAACCCTGACAGACTTAACTGACGTCACAGTTATAATGACTGTGTGTGTGTGTGCTCATGAGAACTTCAAAGTTGAATTATGTTGCTTTTGCCTTCAAAGAAAAGAATACCCACACTGAAGCACTGTATGTTTCTACTCCTATTTGATCATAGTATCTATAATTAATACATATATTCAAACATCTGTTGCTATTTCTAGCAAAAAAAAAGGGAAAAAAGGGGAAAGATTGAGTACGAAATATTCCCTATATTGATCGTCAGTAATTTTAGTTTTCTTCAGCTCCAAATAGCAGATAAGCTTTGAGTTAGCTCGTTTCTTTAGGTGCCGGTTTGGCTTTTGTGCTCAGAGCCAGTGAGCTAATTGACGTGACAGACGACAGCAGCGCCGGTGTCACCCCATGTGTCCGAGCCAGTCAGAGGCAGGAGGGGAGGAAGGGGAGGAAGGGGAGGAGGGGGGAGGTGGGACCGGCTCAGTGGTGTAATCCTGTCGGACTGCTGAGGAAACGCGGGAGAGGTGGAGGGTGGAGAGACTTAGGGGGGCATTACCCAGTGATGAACGCCAATCAGTGGACCCGAGCATACACACGCACCAAAACGCAGTTTTCCATAAAACATTTGCAAAAAGATCCAAACACATTAAAAGATAGAAACCCACATAAACTCTTTACCAATATTATGTGTCTGTGTGAAAAGTGAAACACCAAAAAAAAAGGTCAAGGTTTCTCATTCTGTTTTTAAAGTTATTTTAAGACTTGTTTTTCCATCCACTGACGGTAAAATAAGCACTCAACATGTGGCTGAATAGTTTTCGACACTTTTTCCCATCTGAAACCACTGACTATACATACAATTGGCATCTGCTGCTGTGAAATTCCTGTGCAAAAGTATCAGGTATTTTACGGCTCCGGCTCTGATCTGCACTTGTTGGAAGTCAGCACCCTCTAATGTCCGATAAGGATGCTGTGCTTTGGGAAACAAAATGGGCTCCCCTTGTCTTTGTAAAAAGGAGTCCAACCCAGGTTTTATGATAGTGAAAGGCCATCTCTTTTTTGTCAAGGTTACAAGCAAATCCTCTGGAAGAGTTTAGGTAATGAGCCGAATACATTGTAACTCTAAGCCTGGAGGAGAACACACAGCTACTGGTGATGGGATTTGGGTTTTTCGAAAACATGCCAAGACAGAATGGACTCCAGAACTTCATGCAAAATTGCAGTATTTTTTTCTGCTTAGGTGAACCTTTTTAGGGCAGGAATGAAGCTATCTCAGAACAGAATGTGGATTTTTTCTTTCTCTAGAACTGAGGAGAGGAATTGACAAAGGCATTGATAACTGAATGTATTGCATGTCATTGTAGATGAAGATGCTTCTCAGAAAAAAAAATCCTGATTAAAAATAACCACAAGACTAAAATAAGAACTTCAGCTCTGAATTGCTCTCTTTTTTCCTTCCTGCTTTGTAGGATTGAGGAGGAACTGGGCGACCAGGCTCGCTTTGCAGGCCATAACTTCAGGAACCCCAGCGCCCTGTGAAACTGACAGACGAATGACTCACACACGCATGCACACAAACACACACACGCAAACCTTCACAAACAAAAAAATAAGAATGAGCCATGTACAAAGACAAACCACCTATATATTCAGGAAAACAGAAGAACACCCACAACAGAACAAGTGAAATATGTTCATGAATTATGCACAGGACAGATAAGAAAGGAGTGTATGGTAATGTATGCACACACACGCGAGCAAGTAGAGTATTCAGATGCAACACATGGTAATGCACATGCAGGGGAACTTCATGAAAATATAGTACTTAAAAGCCAGACGTGCACTGTTACTGTAGGAGTAGTTCTTGTGCAGCTTGAGACAGACCTGCAAAACTAACGATTCTCGTGTAAAAACACAGACAAATGAGTAGAGACACTAGAATATTGTAGACTGATGCACGCAAGCGAAAGTTTCAGGGACTGAGTAAATATGACAACAACAAAAAAAACAACAACACTGTAACACCTGGACACTCACACACTAAGCTGTGTCACACTCAAGTACCTGCACTCCTCACACTTCTGTCCTTCTTCCTCTCTCTCTCTGAGCCTCCCTTTCCTTCGTGTCGTGTGTTTCTCAGTTTTAGTCGCTCCCCCTCACCTCAGCCCGATGTGATTCTGATTATTTGTCTTTCATGCTTGTAGTCATGCCGCTGTCTTGAAGAAAAATATCAGAGGAGAAAATATCTGAAACCCGAGTCCCACTGTTCCTTTGTTACCCTTTGAATGTCTATAGAATAGCTGTGTTGAAAAAGAAGAAAGAGAAAAATAAAAAAATCTAAATTAACCTGAACGCTTGTCATTGAAAATGATGTGAAGATATGTGAAATAAAAAAGATGCTAATTTACAATTTCAACCACTGTCAAGAGAGTCGTTTTTGCTCTTGTTAAACTTTTCGAGTCTGCAGTTTATTCTGAATCTTTTCTGTGCAGATCAAATGCATGAATTTGGGTTTTTAAAGATTGGGAGGATCTAGATGAGCTGAGGAGGGCTGTACAGCTCTCTAATAACACTTCAATCATGATTAGACATCATCATCATTTTTTTTCTTACAATGTATGACAGACATACATTAATATGTCACTTTTAATATATCTATGTCTCTATTCTTGTGCATACATGTGCAAATAACTAATCATGTTTGAACACTTATTCACAATATATGGAAAATTTAACTTCCATCTTCATTCTTTTTAAATGGCCCAATAAGCAAAGTTTACCCCCCTTATCTTTTAGCTAAATGGTGATGTATGATCAAAAACATATTCTACTCTCCATTACCATAGTTTGTCAGTGATTAGAAAAGAACTCCAGGCAGAATTAAATTCTTACTCATTCCAAACCAAATATACACAACTAGAGAGGAAACAACATTTAAACATATCAGTAAATCATTTGAACTTTTATATAAACTTGTTTGCCACTTGCAGATAAGTGTGGATGAAAAAACAACAACAACAAAAACACAACATATACTTGTTTCACATCTTATTTGTTTATTCAGACCTTTCTTTGGTTGGTTACTGTGATGTCTCCGTTAGTGAGCACACCTCAGCCAGCAATAAAATACATACTTTAATGCCTATTAAGTCTCTGACTCCTCAGACCTGAGCGACAGCAGAAAAGACCACTTCATCTCAACGTTGTTTATTCAAGTGATTTTAGTCTGGAAATGGAGTTGCTATAGACTCTGTGTTAACACTTAGTGCAGATGTGGGTGAGACAGAGAGGACATGGGTGGTATCACTCTGAAAGCAAACACAAAACAACCTGGGCTGACACTCTGTAGGAAAAACTACTGTTTGAATTAATAACAGGAAGTAATGAAAACTTAAAAAGTGTTTTCTAATGTTGTGATATTGCTCCATATTTTTATTTTTATCCTCGCAAACTCTAAAATACAGAGACGGACACTTAAATGATAAAATATAAATAAAACTTAAACACAAAATGAAGGACTTTAACTAATCTGTAGTTATCCTTTGGTGTGTATACATACGTGTGTGTGTGTGTGGATCAGACAGCCCAGGCTACACAAACACAACATGTGAAAGTCTAAAGGGTAGTGATATCCTGTGCTGATGGGTATCCGTGTAGGTTATTCCCGTGCATTGATGATATCAACAAACTCTGGTTTTAGAGAGGCTCCTCCCACCAAGAAGCCATCCACATCACCTTGAGAGGCGAGCTCTCTGCAGTTTGCCCCTGTGACTGAACCTGGATGACGGGAGGAAAAAGTTGGATATGTGAGGGAAAAATAACACTTTACTTTTAAGGGAGCTACAAGTAGATATCTAGATCTTTTATTTCTGATTATCTAAACTGATTATTTTGCTCATATCACTCATTGCTCTCTCTCTAAAATGCTCAATTTTCGCCTCTGTCTCTGTCCCAAAACGGACATTTTCAGCCTCTGACAAACCCCTTTCACATTCAGTGGAGAGTTGGACTTAAGCACTATTTTCAGGTGCCTTTTAAAAGTCCTACGTTGTCCCAAAATGAATTGTTTTCTTCTCCAGTCATCTGAAAGTTCTGACTGTTCAAAATCATACCTGGTGCATTTAAATGGTAAATATGTTTTATGACCGTGCAAAATGAAAAGAAAAAGGGGCATGGCCTCAAAGCGGTATGGGAGAAACTGCTTCTGTTGAAGAGGTTTGCAGCACTGCAGTAGTTCTATGTGCACAAAGTGGCAAAATATGTATGGGGGAAATATGACAGTAACCACTGACCTCCATAGATGATGCGCAGAGTGTCAGCCACATCGTCTGAGACATTTGCTCTGATCCAGGCTCTCAGCTTCTCGTGGACATCCTGAGCCTAAAAGCACCCCAAACATCGGACCTTTGCTCAATCGTTTTGAGACTTTTGTGATCTCAATCTTGATTTTTTACACTCAGCCATGACTGCAACATCATAAATACAAGCAACACTTTGTTGTCTCAAAACTAATAAACAGAATCAAAATAACTCCACACTAATTGTAGAAAAATCAACTCTGAGATTTTGGCACATTTATTTTACTTTCTCTCATCTCAAGTTCTTTCTTAAGGGCCTGAGCTTTTCTTCTCAGCTAATCTGAATGCACAAATAGGTTGGATTCTGTTGAATTTGCTCCCCTAATATTTGCTTTATAGCTCAGTTTTGAACAACCCTGTCGAGTTTCTACTGTGATCTACATGGCAGCGGAATCATAAACCGTGCGCTGAGAAAGATAAAACCATTTGGATTTGCACAGGGAAATGAGAAAAAACTTACCTGCTCAGGAGTGGCCGTCCTGCCGGTGCCAATGGCCCACACGGGTTCATACGCCAGCACCACTTTCCCCCAGTCCTTCACATTCTCTGAAACACAACATCATCCCGGCCTTACAGAGAAAACTGACACTTTTCAGGCATAAACTAAAGAAAAAAAGCAGAGGGGGCCTTGTGGAACAGCAAATCCTGCCTTACTGTGTCCCTTGGAATTTCTTCTGCTGCAGAGACCACTGACCTATTTACATTTTAAATCAGTGTGCAACCTACTTTGAGAACAGAAGCAAGATGCATGAGGCCAAAATGTAACCAGAAACAATATCATCAATCAGATTATGCATCATGAGTTTTGATCATCCTGTCTGCGAGATGTTTGCTATCCAAAGAATTTTCATTAGTTGTTTTTTTCTGAATTGACCAGCAGTCCCCTAAGAAAAATAATAAAAAAAAACAGCCCATTAAAGCCAATGCATTATCAAAAACTTGTGTTTGCTCGTTAGTTTCTTCAAAAGAAAGCCATGAAGAAATAAAATCTTATTGGTCAAAACAATTTAAAATAAAATACTTTGTAAAGATCTGAATGATAAAGACAAACAAAAAAACAAAACGAAATTACTTTAAACTTGGGAGAGTTAAATATTAAGGTAGAAACTTCTCCTTTACCTGCAATGACCTGAGTCTGAGCATAGACAACTTCTTCTGTGGTGCCTGCCTCTCGCTCCTCCAGTTTCTCCCCGATGCAGGCGATCACACCCAGATCGCTCTCCAGAGCATGAGCCACCTGAGGATGGAGATCAGAGCACAGCTTCAACTCAACGCCCAAAGACGATGTGCAAATATATACAAAAGCAGAATAGCCCTTATTTAAATAGCTTCACAAACGGATCTGTAACAAACAGACTGATTCAAAAGTCAGCCAAAAAATAAACACAAGAGTCTGTTTGTTTTTTAGCAGGAGAAAATCTCGCACCTTCTGGCCAATCAGCTCGTCACTTTCCCCGAAAACGTGACGCCTCTCTGAGTGTCCGAGGATCACCCACTCTGCCCCACAGTCCTTTATCATGGCGGGGCTGGTGGGAGAGGAAATATGTTGGAGACGCTGTTTACACTGAATAAAAGCTTCTGGACTTTTTTTTCCTCCTTTAAACTCACACACTAACTCATTTCCATATTACCAAATCAGGTGATTGTCTTTGACAAAGATATCAGTCCATCTCTAATGCCTGTGAGTCTAAAACACACACACTGAGTTCAAACTTTCAAACGTTTCTCTAAAAAGTGTAAAAAAACAACAACATTATGAGGTGCCAAAAGTTCAAACAAAAATAATGAACTATTATCCAATTCATCACTAAAACACATATTTTCTGTTTAATGGGACATCCAAAATTCTTTCTCCTCTGTGCCTGAGGTGCAGCTCTGCACAACATTTATTTATGCTCATTTGAATTTAAAAATGTTATCTTATTGATCATGGCCTGGTGAGTTTGGATGCTGCTAGTGGCTGAGTTACCTGATCTCTCCTGTAAATGCTCCCTTGGCCACCTTATAACAGTTCTGGGCCGCAACCCCGATCCTGGGATCCAGACTGGAACGAGCAAAGTCCAAGTAGATGGAGGGAGCCCCACAGACCACCTCTGAAAATCAGGCAGAAACTCTCTGTGATCTTCCCTGTCGAGTAAGAGTTTCAGTGGTGAAATGGGACAGACTCATTCTTTTGTTGAAACGTTGGTTTTGGATCTCTGAATGGTGGGAACACATTCTCATCCCCCTTTTTGAAAATAAGCACGACAAAAAAAAGGCTGCAAACAAACACTGAATGTGATCTCCAGGCCCCTCAGGCTGCCCTGAATGATGGAAATCAAGAACATCACAGAAGCACACAGTCCCTCTCTGTATATATAACTACAACTAAAAACTCTCTATAAGGCCAAAGCAAAGACATTACAAAAATCTTTAAAAATCAGTTTCCAAACTAATTAAAGATGGGGTGATGTGTGAGGAAAAGATTTGAATTGTGACTACAACTAAGCATACTTTCAAATAGTTCATTTATGAATCATTTAGATATTGAAAGTCACTATTGAAAATATTATTAGCTAATATAGTTTAAGAGCTAGAGACACCAAAAACACATATTAATACAGTGGTCTAAAAAGGCTATCCATTAAGGCGGACTGAGCCAGATCTGCTATCTCATGCTCTCTTAACGAGGGGGAGATGATGGGATGGGTCCCGAGCCAGAATGGATGACGCCAAATCTGTTACTGTTGCCAAATGAAGGGAACTGATACACGTTTTAGTGTTGAATGGCGAAGGAGTATAAAACGAAACGATAATGCCCTTTACTTTAACATTCTTAAAGCCAGCTGTCAGCCGATCAGCGGGCTGCGCGTAAAGCTGCAGCCTCACGCCTGCGCGTCCTTTACCGGTCTGATCGTGCAGGCTGGCGGTGTTTAGCGTGGTGATCAGCTCTCCAAGGCTCTCCTTATTCCCGTTCATCTTCCAGTTTCCTCCCACGAAGAACCTCCGGAGCGCCATGGCCGGCTGGTGGTGGCTGAGAGCGGGGGGTGAGAGGAGATGGAGGCCCGGCGGATGGAGTGCAGATCAGGATGGATCCGGCCGGTGCGCAGGTCAGGTGCTGTGGGGGAATATCCGCAGCAAACACCGTGAACATCCGTCTCCCCCTGATCTGGGATTATGTAGACAGTTGGATAGTTTCATGGGTCTTTACCGCCCTCTGGTGCAATAAAGGTTTACTCTGTGATCACAAACAGACACCTGCGTTTTAATCACGGGAAATTGTTTTGGCAGGAATGTTAAATAAAAAAATCTGATGATTTAATCACAGTGACAAGAATAAGACACATTTTGAGACTATATTTCATAAATAATGGTCCATTTTTGACCGATAGCTGCATTAATTTAGTGCTAAACGTGTTTGTTTGAATCATCAATACTGCTGTGCAGTGAATGGATTCCACAAGGGGATCATTAACTCTGATCAATGGGTGCAACAATGCATAGATACTGATATATATGTTGCTTCTGAACAGTAAAATGGAAGCAAGTTTTCCCTAAGGTCAGGGAATGTTTCATAATCGAAAAAAACTGAGCAGTATGGCTTGTTTGGAAGTACTAAAGGACAAAGCTTCTTCTTTGCAGCAAACCACATCATTTCTGGAATGTGTCCCTTGATCAAATAAAGCAAAATATATGTTTTTTCAAATAGGTCTGTGATGTTTTGTTGTCAATCTTTTGTTAAATGACACAATTTCAACACCTTACAAACACTGACATGTTTTCATTTTTCATGAAATAGGCATTTTTAGAATTGAAATGGCATGAACTTTTTTATTTCGGTGATTGAATTACTGTACATATTCTAATTGTATTTTCATGATGATACTCATATTAACTATCATGTATTTCTCCAGCCATACCAAGCACTTCTAAATAATATGAATAAAACGTTGATGTCCATTCTGTGGTGCATTTGATTGTGATAATTAGAATCCATTCTGAATAAAATGTCATATCATGTCTGGGTTTGTTTCAAAATGTGCATGTCTTTGCACCTTTCCTGCTGTTGTGGGCAGATTGGATTAATCTGGCTGAGCTTCGTTGACCTAGATCATCAGGCTTTTTCTCAGATTGTTTTGTCTTCTGGATGTAGAAAGCTGAAACTGCAGGGCAAACATTTCTGTGCGCACGTGACCTTTTCAATCGGGGTTATGAGGTGCATCACGACGGTGCATCACGGTGCAACCACATCTTAAAGTCAGCCCCAGAGGTAGACGCAAAGAGACACAAAGACTCCAGCATGATGTTAATGCAGAACTCTATTTATTAGAAAGAATTTCAAGAAACATTTTGCCTTTTTACATTAGAGGAGCACATGTGTTCTACAAAATGCAGCTGAGCCCAGGGGAGTAAAAGAGTACAGTTTTTCAAAGAGTGTCCAGCTCCATCTTGTATCTGGATAGATCACCACTTTGCAAGGGTTAGAAAGGTCAACAGCGGCAGCCATTTTGGATTTCAACCAGCTGGTGTTAGCAGGGAACCCCTGATGACTGTTCTACCTTACATATACACTCTGGATTTGTGGTTTTCCACAAAAAAACAAAAAAACAAAAAACAAACAAGAAGTAGAACTTGAACGTGAACTCTCCATCCTATTTGACAAACTATAACGTATAAATGATTGGACAAGCCAGTCTTTCATCTAGGTCAGGGCAGGGCTCTCTTACAGCTCAAAGACCTCAAAGACAAAAAATAAATCTGTAAGTCTACAATATTATTCTTAATATTTCAATAAACTTTGTTTAATCTTTCATTGTCAAAAAACTATGCGTCTGATGGTTTCGACAAGAGCTGGTTTTCTGCTCTGGTATCCCTCAGAGTAGTGTGCTATTGTTTAAAAATAGTCTGAACAGTAAAGCTCTTCTGTACATACAGCAGGATGCATCATGCATTGTTTACCTGATGCCATTTATACAATGTGGCTCATTTGCATACATAAATGAGGAAGAAGAAGAGAGTAGGGTAGAAAGAGAAGAAGACCTTCTTTCATACACCCTCTGTGTTTTCTTCTTGACCCTTTCACCCTCTCCTCCCCCTCCTTTTTCTCCCAGAGGTTGTTTTTTCCTGCGCTGCAATGCCTCAGTTCCACAGTTTGAGGAAACTGTCCCAGGACCCTGTGCAGACACCCATGCCATCACCTGGAACCCCAGTGCAGCTCACCCTGTTGTCATGGCCAGAAAGTACACCTGGAGAAAAAAAATAAGACATGATCACATGGCATGGAACTGTATGAGGTAAAGGAAGAGAAATGGGTGATCGCACGTGTGGCGTCTCCCTGTGATTGTCTTTTGGATGTCCACTGCAGTTTTTGTTGTCCTTCTGTCTTTAACTTTATAGTTGGGTCAACACTTGAGTTTCTGAACCGAATTGAATTTCTGAATTTCATGAGCAAACAGACTTTACTACCACTCTCTGGGGACACTGTAAAGTCTAATTTATCCTGTGTTTTTCACACTTTTTTCTAAATCAACGACTCAAGAATCTAATTCAAATTCCTTTTCATTTTTGTTGAAGTTTTTTTCTACTATTATTCTAAATGGATATCCATTTTTTTAGTCAACTTAAATCCGATTAAGTTTGTCAAATTTGTCAATATCTCTTTCTAATCTCAAATAACTGCTTTTACTTACATCCCTAAGATCAGATAAATAAAACTGAAGCTTTGTGCAACAGATTGCTATCCGTTCATAGTTTGCTTTACCTTCATTGGACTATACTTCAGGTATTTACACAGTATCAGGTATTTTCATCAATTCTGTTTTTTTCTTATATGTGAATGCTGAAGAAAATAAAGCACTTACCAACTTTCTCTCCCTTGAGTGCATCCCAGATGTGACAGTTGAAGTCATCATAACCTGCAAAGATAAGGCGACCGGAGCTGGAAAGAGCCAGAGATGTGACTCCAGCGTTCAGGGCGGTGTCCGTGTAGTCAAGCACCTCCTGGTCAGCGCGCAGGTCGTACATCTTGCAGGAACAGTCGTCGGAGCCTGTGATGACAGCATTTCCACTGGGGAAGAACTGAAGCAGGAAGGAAATAAACATGAGAAGACATAGATAGAATTCAGAATTTATCAGCATTCATAATGGATCAGAATGCCTTGATGACTAAAGCGAGTATTAATATTTTGTGCAGTTTTGCATCTAATTTTTTGTGACCGATGTCTAAAAATCTTCTCATTCACCTACTACCTATTTAAATTCATTGCCTAATACTTATATTTAAGCTTTTGAAATTATTTATAATATCTCTGGTGTACAAATGTGTCTGGTGAGGCTCTGTAGGACTCTCACAGCGATGGCGTTGATGTCACTGGTGTGTCCGGAAAAGGTCTGCTTGCAGGTTCCATCCCTTATGTCCCACAGCTTGGCAAGAGAGTCACAGGCTCCAGAGATGAAGGTGTTCATATCAGGAGAGAGAGCCAGTGACATGCAGTCTCCAATGTGGTTGGTGAAGATGATCTTCTGCTTGCCAGTTTCCAGGTCCCACAGGCAGCTGGAAGAAAAGTTGTAGGAGTTGTATGAATCATGGTGTTCGGGATTTGGAAAGTGGTCTCTGAAACCATTCTGTGTAAAGCCTAAAATTTGGGATCAGTAAAAAAGTGTTCCAATGTTCTTTTTTGACAAAAAAAAATCTTAATGAACACTGGCTAAACTAAACTGAACTGAACTAAACTGAACTAAACAGGAAAATGGTTTTTACAAAGATACATACATGGCCAGAATGAAGGTCGCCAGTAGATATAGGCATAGATTTTTGTAAGGTTTTATTTGATATGATTAACTTTTTTTTTTAGAAGTACGAGCATGCCAGAGTTTTATTCATAGCCAAGTCCTTGATATTTTTTGATAATTCTTAGGATGCACACATTATCCACTTAGTCTGCCCTTACATACTGTATAATAATTTACAATTTTTTACCCATTTATTTCTAGATTTTCTCATTTTCAATCAAATGTCCTTTTGAAAGTTGCACTGGTTCTTTTTTGTGTCGCTTTTTCATTTGATAAAATGATTATTTCCTCATTCAAAAGAACAAGGTCGTAAGTGGTTTCCCAAACACAATCTTTCGGAGATTTTGCCTTCAAACATGGACTTTTATAAAGTTATTTCAAATGAATCCAAAGCAATCCTCAAAAACCCACCAGGTGGTGTCACCGGAGGCTGTCAGGATCTCAGTATCGCTAAGGAAACGGCAGCAAGCCAGGTAACCTGGGTGGGAGAGAGTTTTTCAGCATATCAGGTTCATGGCCCATTGATCATCATTTTGATAAAAGATCCAAAATGTTCCCTCCAGACCTGTGTGTGCATCCAGCTCCCTGAGGGTCTTAGGGCTGGCAGCCTTGATGTTGTAGACTGTGCAGATGTTATCCAGACCACCACTGGCCACGAGGCCGCCAGAGGGGGCGAAGGCAACACTCATCACCCAAGCAGATTTTAGTGGGACAGCAATCAACTGGTAGAGGAAATAAATATTTACAATTTTCAGTGTTATGGGTTCATGTGCATCCTGGAGAACTAAACTCACCCAATAACTGATAACTGTCCTCACTGAAAGGAGCACATCTCATTTTGTTAGGATAAAAGGCTCTTAAATGTTGGTTTGGCTGCCTCATGAATTCTCTTCAGTCATTCTCTCAAGATCAGTTTTAAATACACCAGAATAATTGTTTTAGGAATACAATCAGATATTTGAGGTCTTCACTGTTAATCTACCTTGTCCTACAAGTCCTCTATACTTGCTAGTAATTTAGTAGTATTCCTTATGGTACTGAATTTAGAATATCTAAGAAACTATCCACATATAATAATGATGTTACTTATTTTGTACACTGAGGACAGTACTAAATACAAGTTTTTAAGGAGCAAAATGAAAGCAGAAAATCAACTGCATGTCAGTACCCGTAAAACAACAGTCTCACGTTTGACCAAAAATGTCAGAAACTGTCTACCTAAATAAATTGGTTTGTTTAATGAAGACGGAGTCTCTTGAATGGCATCAAAAGTTTTTTATATTATTATTGGATTATTTTAGCCCTTCTAGACTCATATTCCCTTGATAAAAATCGAGTTGAATGCTATCTTACCTTGTTCCCTGTGAAGCTGTCCCAGACGAGAAGCTTGCCATCCTGTGATGCACTGACCATTTGCCTTTGAGAAAGATGTGGGGGTCATTATTCAGGGCTCTGAAAATGTATCATCTATTTTCTGTACATATTGTCATTAAAATGTTGCACAAGCAATGCTGGTAGGGCCAAAAGCAAATAAACTGTTTGTAAAATAGCCAGGTTTTTACCTTATGACATAAATTTTGAATAGATCAAGTGTCTCTTTAACTTTAACATTGAAACCAGTTTTATGAAAAAATCTGGCAAATAAAATGCTGCAAACATGTGAAATTCCTATCTGAAATGCAATATATAGTCAGGCTGCCAAAGCCAGTGCAACATAAAGGAGTTGAACTGCATAATTTGCTGTTCTGTAACAAAACTATAACTACTGTTCCTTTACTAAAACAGCTGTCTACATTTTTAGAATAATACAGATATCAGGACTAATCAGGGTAATTGTGCAAATTCTATGTCACATAAAAGCAAAAAAAAAAATAGAAATAGAAATTGTACTGTTAACTCAACTGGCCATTGAAAAAATAAGAATGCTTTCACTCTCCCTCCTCATCCTCACCTGGAGTCTGCTGCCCAGTGCATGGCATAGATTTTGGCCAGGTGACCTTTGAGTGTCTTCCTGAGCTTCAGCTGGACCCTTCCCACTGCGGCCACTCCTCCTGATGCTGAGGACATGGTCGTGTCATTCACAGCCTTACGAGCCGCCTGGTGACAATGTAGAATATTAAAACAAAAAGAGAAGAGTGGTTAGCAAGAAAGATTAATTTCTCTAACTTTTTTTTAGATCCAGTTATTCAAAGTATTCCAGATGTAATTTTGCATGAGGTGGGGCACACAATGGACTGGGCACCAGTCCATCACAGGCTCACACAGAGATATTCATGTATGCTTACACATTCACTCTAAAGGTCAATTAGCGTTAGTGACCAATTAATCTAACATGTTTGTAAGAGGTTGTTCTAACCTCTTATCTTAAAACATAAAAAATGATATTATTCATTCTAAACTGGTATAACTGGCCCGGTATATGTGTCTGATATGTGTATTACTCAATTATAGTTCTTTTTTTGGAGCAAACCCATTTTTTCATACTTTTGGACTCAAATAATCCATTTAAAGTGGGACCAGATACCTGGAGAAATGCGGTCACAAATTTAGGCATTCCTGGTTTGTAATTTTTAAGAAACCCTCAACAGGAAGTGGGTGTTGCAGTGCAGGAAAGGCTCACCTCGATCTGTGCACGGAGGCCATCGCACTCCTTTTTCAGTGCATCCATTTCAGCTTTCTCAGCTGCCATGGCGACGGTGGCGAGGTAGTATTACTGGCAGGAAACTGAACCGTCACTCTGGATGAGCAGAGGTGAGGAACAAAGAAAGGAAATATGGATAAAAAGTCCTGTTTGGGTCACATTAGTTTCACAGAGCAGCCAGATTCTTTTGCGTCCCACCCTGACAGCTTGACAACGCAGTGATTACACACAGGAGCACAAAGTGTCAGTGAGGTGTCCAAATGATCATTCAGTGACCTTGATACCTCAAAGTAGAACACTTGCTGTTGCACCATCAAGGCCGCACCAAAGATTAGTCTCGGCTGGCAGGAGTAATCTCACTAAAGTTGTAATGCTGTTAGCTCACATGCTAGTCAGATGATAGAAGGAAGCGGATGAACTTAAGGATGGCAAAGCCAGGAGAAAAAGGTGCATATTTTATAAGGAAAAGATGGATTGAAGGCGAGAGGGAAAGGAAATGAAAAGTAACAAAGAAGAGCATGCATAATACATGAACGGTAGATGAGGAGAAACTTCTCTAAAGGCATGAAAATTACTTTATGTATGTACTATAACATGCATAATGAAAAATGTGGTGTCTTGATGGTAAACCATTTTCAGATCAACTCATGTGGTGTTTTTCATTTGTGTGTTGCTTAGGGTTTGGATTGGGCTTCAATAGCATTGCAAATCAACATGTTAAAGTTGATTTTCAACTAGTGTCCAGAAAGCAGTGCATCACCAATAAGAAAATTGTTTTTAGGACATTTATATCACCACAAACATCTGAGGGTCAAAATGAACCCAACGATCCCAAATAGACATAGAGTCTTGAATTCATTCTTATTGTATTTCATTTGATCATTTCTATCTCACACTTTGAGATCATATTAGTTTCCCGAAAGCAATGTGACCAGTTTCGTTGCCAAATACTATACAGACCGATACTCATGTCTGACTAATGTAATCCCAAATACCTATTTGTCCAACTGCCAGCAAGGCTCAGGGCTAAAAGGCTATGCTCACAGAGCTGTAGGGAACATAACTTTTAATGCTACATAGGAGAGTCATTTTGTGCTGTCCCATATCATAAAAAGGTTTTACAACCATTTGATTCAAACATCAGTGATGTAATACAGCAGAATTGTTTGAATAAAAGGTAGAATTTTGCAATTCCGTACTCCCCTGTCAGTCTAAACATCAATGTCTGAGTAAGGTTAGCCGCAGGATGATGCCTATTTGCAGCACAGATAGCCGCTTGATCCTGTAACAGGACGCAGCGTGGATAGTGAGGTAGACAGGAGGGATGTGGCTCGAGTGTTAAAGGGGTTTTGGGGTGAGTCGCCACAGGGCTTTAAATCCCAGCAGGAGATCTTAAGGGAAGCTTTACTGGTCAAATCTCCTGTCATCCGATTACTGACTGCTCTTTACCTCTGGATCAGTGAAGGAGGAAAAGAGCGTGGTATGGTTGGTGGAATAGGAGGGGGGGTCTTTCAGAGTCAAAACCACAAAATGCTTCGTCTTCAGTCTCCTGAGTCACATTCAAGATCCAACACATGACTACATCTGTCAAATCCCTCATGTGAAAGCATTTCTCCACCGTCCGAAACGCACACCAAAGAGAACAAAACCCTGTTTACTCTGTTGGAAAGAAGCAAATCATTGCAATAGAAGACACCAAACAGACACCTGGCCTTGTGTGACAGATTATGGCTGCCACACCTGAGCGTGCAATCCTCTTTGGCTGGTTGGTTACAATTCAAAGATCACCTTCAAACGGGTTAAAAAAAAAAAATCACCAATGAAGTTTTCAATAGAATTTAGATGTATTAAAAGTATGCTTGAAGAGAGATTTTTCAAATATTTGAAGCTGAATGAGGAGCTGATTTTGTAGACTGAGAAACAACTCAGGATGTTTTTTTAGATAAATGGATATCCACAGAAAAAAAGACGATGGAACATGCTTCATATTTAAATGACACATGAAAATCTTATTCAGTTTAACTTATTCCAGTTTTAATGTGACTTATTCTGCCTGAGCAAGGTTCCACTTCCTGGAAATCAAATTAAAAAAACCTGAATCCACCTGTCTCTCAGGGATTTCACCTCAGCTTTAAAGTTTCTCCAGCAGAAGAGTCATTAAAGAAGAAACTCACATTTTCCACACACACCTTGGAGCCTTCCTCTCCCCTGGATCTGTGCTGCTGCTGGATCCAGAAACCTCCGGCTCTGTGCTTCCCCTTTCAAGCTCCTTTAGATTCCACAATCCCAGGTTGCACAATCTGCTCTCTGGCTCCTCTGATGCTCTACCTCGGCAGACTGCTGGTGTAGCTTTACTTGCGAAAACTCTCTCTTTCTCCCTCCCTTCATCCACAGTGAAGAACAGATAAGGATTGGAGGGGATGAAGGAGATAAGGGATGAAGGGATAAAGCTCAAAGATGGAAACAGAGAGGGAAGGAGAGGGACGGAGGGAAACAGGGTGAGGGAACATGGCAAAAGGAGTCAGGTAAACTGATTGGAGGGAGAAAATCAGGTTATGAGGTCAAATGACAGTAGCAAGTGAAGGAGTGACAGAAGATAGCAGGAAAAAAATGGCAACAGGTGGATAAGTCTGATAAATGTTAAAGAAAGCGCAGAACTATCCAAAAAAGCTACACATTGAGAGATGAGGGGCACAATTCTTCCAGGGACACTTACTCTTACGGAAGTCATTTTATTTAAATGTATCATAGACGAATAAGAAGGCAAAGTGGGCCTAATTCCAGTTACAATGGACTATTTTAAACATGAAATCATTGGAGATTGTGTTCGTCTCTCACAGGTGCATGTGTTTTTTTGGCATGGGCCATGGGGTGGATGGTTTGGAGCATAGGTTGAGAGTGGGGGGAATTGGTTCGGTAGAGCTAATGAGCTGAGCCCGGTTAATCGGACGCTAATGGGATATCCGGGGACAGGGAATCTTGTTAGGGAATTAGAGCAGGACAGGTTAAATGTGCGTCACACCTGATACAAAGCAAGTATATGGAAGAGAAGTGGATCAAGAATCAAACGCAGCTTTTCGCTTCAAAATGAGGCCTGCCATTTTATGAGAAGCCTGCAGTGTGTACATCCATCGTCTGAAAGGCATCGATGTACACGCTGCAAAGTGTAATCTGACTGAAGTCTTATTAACTCTCCAAATCTGATCTTTGGCAGCTCCGCGTTTCTCAGGATCCCAATCCTGGACCTGGGGACCCTTTGCTCAGCTGGTTTAAGATGTATCCCTGCTCTGGCACACGTGATTCAGTGGCATTGATCAGCTTGTCAGATTGAAAATGACCTGGTCTTTTGTCTGAGAGGCAGGTTGGAGAGACACTGTGTGTAGGAAACTATTAAACAAATGTGGAGGAGGTCTGAAACAGAGAAAGGAGGTTTCGAATGTATTGATGCAAAGTGGTGCAGGTGTCACAAAAAAGATGATCTTGCTTTGTTCACATCCTGTAATCCGACTTGCAGCATCTTCCAGGAAAAATGGATACTAGGGGATTTTCCAAAATGGTCGAATGAATGAAGATTGATCATCAGGATCTGAAGAGCTTACACCTCAGCCAGTTTCTTAACAATATCTTTATTTTGTTTCAGCAGAAAATGATAATCTAATCATCTAATGACAATCTATCTATCTATCTATCTATCTATCTATCTATCTATCTATCTATC